TTTTTACTTTTTAATTATGACAAAAAAGGGGGAGAAATAGATCTAACTGTTTAAATAAACTCTACCTAAATGAAACTTCAGACATATCAATTTTATCTAACGTAAACTCTTAGTGTTTCAGATAGTTTGATAACTCTGATATTTTCTTTAAAAGAAACTCTAAGACTCCAAGATCATATTTTACTTATCAGACTCTGACTCTGAAACATGCAAGATCTAATGTTTAGAACATTCAGGCTCTGATTCTGAAAAGAATACTCGTGCAAAAAGGGAAGTTTCTATTCCTTCTTAGTATTCAATTCAGGGGGAGATTCATCATCTCAAGGGGAGTTATAATAATTATTTTTTTGAACAAAATTTCTGATGTTTTTGTCATCATCAAAAAGGGGGAGATTGTTAGAACACAGATTGGTTCTTAATAATATCTCTATGTTTTGATGATAACTATTATGAAATTTTGTATTAAAGAATTATATACTCTAAAATTTGCTTAAGAATGTTTGTTGCAGATGTTAAAGTAAATATTATTCCAGAAGCAAATTAGATCTAAACATAAGAAATATGCAAGGCTCTGAAGCGTCAGAAGCATCTCTCCAGAAGATTCTGAGCGCTGCCTACAGAAGAATCTGAAGCAAAAGCCAGAAGCATCTGAAGCAATAAAAGAATTATGTATGAAGAGTTTTCAAGCACAGTTACTTCAGAAGACTCTGATAGTACTAACGCTGCTAGTACTGAGGATCTGACTCAAAACTCTGCTCTGAACTTATACACGCTGAAAGCACACTTGCTGCAAAGACTCTGTTTCAGCAAACTCTGATGAACATCAGAAGGCTCTGACCAATTTAGACTCTGATGATTCTTGCTGAAAATTGTTGAAGAAGAATTCAAAGTTATGTCCGTTGGAATAACCAAACGACTCTTTCCTTATTTATGCTAGACATAGGAACACAGACAAAAAGGATTTCTCTGTGCATTCCTCTTCTAGGAAAGGTCACATGATGTGCAGACAAAAAGGCTCAGACCTTTTTGGTACACTACTCTCAACGTGAAAAGCTCTTGGATCACTGTGCCTATAAAAGCAAGTCTCCATTCATCTTCTTCAGTTGACGAAACACTTGAAAAGAATTCATTACAAAGCTCTCATACAACTCATACATTCTTGCTAGAATTATTTCATTGTTCTTCATCTTAAGTGAAAAATCACAGTTGTGATAAAGCTTTATTAGAAGCATTTTTAACACTTGTATTATTATTACATTTGATTGTAAGAGAACCTTAAGAAGATCCAGTTAGGATCAGTAGTTCTTGAGAAGACTTTGAACAGTTGTTCTTAGTGCTTACTATTGTAATCAGTTGATTAAATAGTGGATTAAGTCCTTGTTTGAGAAAGGCAAATCACTCTAGATAGAGTGGACTGGAGTAGTTGAGTTCAACGAACCAGGATAAAAATCCTTAAGTTTTTATTACTAAGTTTTATCTTCATACTTATTCAACCCCCCTTCTAAGTATTTTCTCACCTTCACTTGAGGCCCTAGGCGATGATTCTCCTCTCGTGCAATAGGACATAAGTAGGAGGAGATTGATTCATTTGGCACACTCGCACCATTCAATTTCAAGAATGCTCTCAAGTTTTCTAGAGTTTCTTTGCTCTCCCAGTGTTCGTTCGTCGCCGCCATTACTGTCGTAGGTTTTTCTCACACCACTGTAGCTTTCCAGGACCTTGTTTACACACGTAACTTTCCTCTGTCTTTTCTAGCTAGCACGATAGTCTATGTAGCTTTAGGAATGCATGTTCCCAGATACTCATGAGCTTCGTGATGAAGTTCTACATCTTCAGGTGAGTTTTATGAACTTTCCAGCATGTTCTTGAACTTCTGGTGAGCTTCATGAGGTTCCGATGAAGTTTCTGGGGAACTCATAAAGTTTTGGTGAAGTTTCCAAAAAACTCATGAAGATTCTGGGGAACTCATGAAGTTTCCGATGAAGAATCCAGGGAACTCATTAGGTCTTCGCATCCTTTCTGGGCTTAAAGTCGGGGAAACTTTCTCCTCGCGGGAGCATATGTACTATGGAAAAGTCTCTCGTCGAGGAGGCTTCCTCCACTTGGTTCTGATGAGGATCCTACATGTCAAGGAATCTCCCCCTCGCGGGGAGGGGGTCTCGTGCCTGGTGTTGAGGAGAAGTTCCTCATGACTATGCCCTTGTCGACAAGGGCTTTGGCCGATGACGTGTCCTCGAGCTTTTCTTCGCCTTTTAATTTAATTTGTGGTTGAAGGGTGTATTTGATATTAATGTCAAATTCACTATTTTCCTCTGCTTTTCAGGTTAAATGGCTTAAAAGCCCAAGGACACAGTCGTGGTCGACGTAGATGTTGAGGACAATTTGGCTGACATAAACACCGAATCTGAGTTGGACTGGGTCGAGCAGGAACCTCGAGCCATTGCTTCACCCTTTATTTTCGACGACTCGGATGCCTCCATGACCGTCAATGACCCAGAGGAAAGGGCCTCTATGAACTGGGAGGTCTATAATTTCCAGATATGCTCGTCTTTCAAGGGGTTACACTTCCCTATGTACGAGTTTGCCTTCCAAGAAGCAGGGTTTTGTTTTACCTTTAGAGACTTTCAGGCGGGGGTATTCCAATGGCTAGAGTTAGCACCATCGTAGCTTCATCCTAATGCAATCGCATTCGTGCAGGAATTCGAGCTTGTGTGCCAACACCTTTGCATTAGCTCCACGCTCCCTCTGTTATTCCGCTTGTTTCATCTTCAGTGACAATCTTCACATAGAGGGCACATCTGGGTGTCTTTGAAGCAGCCGAGGAAGTTTTTCAAGACGTACATGGATTCTGTTCGCGCTTTTAAAGATAGGTAATTCCTCGTGCAGCCCGTGTCGCACACCGCTGTCATATCTTTGTTTGAACGCGTGGTTAAGCACGTGGGCAGGAATTTGAGGAGCTAGAAGCAAAGTCCCCCTTGAGTGGAAGAGAGCCCACTTCAAAAAGGGGACGAACCACTACATCACGAAGCCCCATGAGTTGGATGACGAGGATAAGCTTTCCTATAAGAAGATTGTGGCTTTCGTCGACAACTTCACTCCTGCCATGTGTGTGAACAAGGATGGGAGCTTCATCTGCGACGAGAACGGGGAGGTTGCTTTCGAGGCCCAGTTGATTAATACCAAGGCACTCCTCGAGTCTGGTTCTGACGGGGAGGCCTTGAGGCTTTTAGGTAGCGAGCGTGTTCCTAACTTGTGTGTTTGCTTATTTTTCCTTGTTATATTAACTTGTTCTTTTATTTTGTTGCAGGCCAAATGTCGAGCCTTCAAGAGCGCATTCTCAAGATCACGGAGAACAGGACTACCAAGAAGGATATCAAAGGTCGTGTCTCCCAAGTCCAGAAGATGTCGAAGATCGACCAGCACCCCGAGGGTTCTTCTTCCTCGCCCCAGGGCAGTCCGTCTCCTACCTCTCAGGAGAATCCAAGAGGAAGGTGATGTTCGAGGATACGGTCACCGTGATAAGGGTTCTTGAGACAACTTTGGCCCTCAATGATGGGACCCTCCCCCTTGTCGAGCTGAAGAAGTTGCAGGCAGCAAATGTGACCCTCAGGGCGGAGACGCTCAAGGTGGAGAATGACTTATTCCACTACAAAGAGAGGTATCACATCTAAGTCGAGCTTTACCGCGAAATGGATGAGATGCGGGAGAAGATGACCAAGGTTGTGACGGAGAAGAAGCGACTCCAAGTGAGGGTTACTGAGTTAGAGGCTGTTGCAATGCCCACCCAGGAGAAACTCATGGCGACCCGGGGTGACTTGGTTACTGAGTGGTCAACATTGTGTACTCGGAGAAATGGCCTGCTGGTCTCCTCTGTTCGCGCGAGTCTCGGGGCTTATCTTCTATTCTTTTCTCCCCGCCACGAGGTCTTCATACATCGCGACTTTGGTACCCTCCTTGTTCTGTGAGTCGCGAGCATTATTGGCAGCCTCGCTCTCCTCGTACTGGATGTATGTCGGGGCTTTAAGGAGAAGGTCCTTCAGCGAGTGGGGTGTCTCTCAATCCCAACTTCCTTGGCGAAGCCGCTGCGGGGACGCAACCCTCGCTCGAGCAGGTATTTCTTCATCCAGTCAGTCGTGGAGATATGAACGGACTCTCGATTGGACCTTTCTATGTAGGCTCGAAGAGACTCGTCCTTCCCCTGAACGATGGCCTCGAGTGACGCCTCAAATTTCAGGTGTCGCCGAGAGGCGGTGAAATGCCTGGTGAACTATGTTTTCAAGTCCTTCCAGGAGGTGATGGACTCTGGGGCGAGACTTTTGTATCATGCCATGACACATTTCCTCAGATTCGTAGGAAAGAGCCTGCACTTGATGGCCCCCCGGACGTTGTGATAGTCGAGCATCGCATCGATGTTTCCGATGTGATAGTCTGGGTCCGTCGATGTGGAGAACGTGGGGGGATGTGTGAGGAACATTTCCTCCCTCGGTGATGGCAGATTGAGCCTTTATGTTGAACCTTCCCTGACGCGAAGCTGGGTTGGACTGTGCCCGATGGTGGGACAACCTCAAGCTCAGTCCAGAACAATATTCAAAAATCTAATCCAAATTAAAACGTATAAAATTGAATATAACAAAATCAAACTTTTTAAATCAATCACTCAAAATCGAATTAAATCACAAATAAAGTTATTTTTAGATCCGGTGAATTTTTATCTTTTATATATATATATTTTCTTTTTATTTTTCTCTTATGTAATAAAAAAAATAATTACTCATTATAATTATTTTTTTATTATTTGCACAAAAGGGGCATTAATTTCGTTACACAAACAACCAAACCATTGAGTCAGTAGTAAAATTGCGATCAGTAAGGTATCCGTTTCAATCGCTTCTTCTTCTTCCTTCGAAACCCTATAAAACACAAATCCTCCATCACAATCTCAAAACCCTAGAAATTTCATCTCCTCCCAAATCAAAAATCTCCAAACTCAACCATTGCCATGAACCTTCCATCCACAAAACCCTCTCTTTCAGACCCACCCACTCCAACCCCTCTCAACGGCTTCCCCTTCGTCAAAGGCGAATGTGGCAACTGCGGTGTCAAAGAACGTTGGCTTCTCCACAACGTCGTCGTTCGCGGTGTCGATCGCCGAATTTGCACCTCCTGTGTCCTCCGTCTTCATCCATCGTCTTTCTGCCCCTGTTGCTTTGAATTCTATGAACACCCCGTTTCCATCACTTCATCTTCATCTGCGCACCGTTTCGTCTCGTGTGCCAAATGCTCTTCCCTTTCCCATATTCACTGCCTACCTTCTCCTCCTCCTTTGCCTTCTCCCTACCTCTGCCCTCCTTGCTCCAAACCGAACTTCACCTTCTTCCCTGTTCCCGAAGAAATTGTTGAGGTGAATCTTTCCAAGATTTTCGTCTGTGCCTCAAAGATCGCTCTAGCTTCAATGAAAAAGCAACACACTATGTCCAGTGTTAGGTGTGAAAAGGCTGTTAAGGAGTCTGCTCTTGCGAGGAAGAGGACTAAGGAGTCCATATATCAATGCTTTACTATTGAAAGGCATAAGGATTCGCCTGAGTTAGAGAATATCATCAAGAGTGTGTGTAAAAAAGAGGACTTGGTTGGTTATGGTGGAGGGTATCCACAGTCCCCAAATGGTCCTCTCAATAACAAAATTGGGACGAATGGGATTGGGAGTCCTGCTATTATGAACAAAATTGGGGCTAATGGGGCTAATGGAAGTGATGGGAGAATAGGGAATAATGGTGGAAGATTTGGTGCTTCTGCTTTCAAAGCTTCAGCTTAACATTTGCTACTGTCTGGCAAAAATTCAGATTTTTAAGGTTGGAGAGGTTTTGTATAAAATTTTGGGCTTGTTTTCTTTTTATTGCAATGGTTCTTGTTTTGGGCTTGAAAGATGAATATAATTTGTTTTGCTTGATTTGAAACTTTGAATGCAGATAGACAAAGGGCATGGATGTTTCTAGAGTTGGTGCTGCTGTGAAATTCTGAGTAAGAGTGCAAATTTGATCTTTTTCCTAGTTTTTACATGAGGCATTTCGTGTATTGATTCCATTCCCTTGTAAAGCCTCCGACCTAATGTGATTATGCAATTTTATGTACTTTAAATGCCTGGCTGTAATTAGGTTTGAGCTTCTTTTTGTTCTTCTGTGTTAGTTTTAGAGTATCAGTTGTTCCATTTTTATACTTCTCCATGTTCATTTTCTTTGACTACAAGGTGTCAAATAAGACTCTGGTTATCTGTGATTTGAATAACCGAAATTGCAGTTTTAGTTCTCATTTTTATTTATTGACTGGAATTAGGAATTTTATTTCATTTGATTGATTTCAGACTTGGGTGTAGTGTATATCATAATTGAGCATGTATGAGTTGCATATCATATAAAGTAGAAGAACTCATACTCTACTTTCTATAACAGATCTCAGATTTTTAATTTGGATGAATTTGAAACTAAGTGAATAATCTCAGGGGTGCATTTGATGACTGATTTATTAGACAGAGGGACGATACTTGCTTGACATGTGTTTTCAGTGACCGTTTTCAAATATCTCGATAACATGGGAGACTAGGTTGATATATCCCCATAATTTCAAGTCTAAGTTGGATATTTACTCTCATTATAATGTGTATGAACAGAAGTTTTGTTCCTGCAATTCTTAAGGATGTTGCACCGTTAATGTTGCAATATTTTGTAATAGTGGCTTCATTCAGATTGCCCATGTATTTTGCAACTATTTTCATAGTTGCCTGGTCTTTTTCATGTTTGCCTTCTCTGAGTGAGAACTCTTATGTGATTAATTGCACTATCAATAGTATGATGTTAACCCTTTGTGTTTTGAACGGTGATGGTTGACACCGTTCTTTGCGGCTGACCGGGGAGATTCAAATTCTTATGAATAATCTTCACGATTGCTTGATAGATTGTCCCCGGGATTTTATCATGAGGGATACCATAATAAAAAACTTGAATTTTGTATGACTTTTTTACAAACTACCATACCGCAATTTAAATAAAAGGAACACTAAGCATCTGTTTGGTTTGGCTATGAAAGCCTATTACGCCCTTCTCAATAGAAGGTTGATGTGATAATATTGAAGTTGGTAAACCATGTTTGCTCGTTAATGTTAATTTTCATGCTAACAATGTACTACTTAGCAATAATCATTTATTTAGACATTTGCAATCATCGCAATCAAATAATTTAAAGCATGTTTGGATTTGCTGAGAATTTCAGAGGCATTGTTATTTTGATATGAGCTATATTTTGAAATTTTTACAAAATAATACTGTTTTTGTTTAACGAATTGTTCACCCACATACGCCTAAATAAATTAGCGACAAGATTCAATTATCTTATGAAAAAGATTCAATCAAGAATAATTTTGGAGGCTTGTTGATATTTAGATATCTCCCAAAATCATACAATAACATGTGAAAGTGAGATTTCCTTCTGAAAACATCCCATATGTTCAGATTTGGGGTGTAACTGGATAGAAAAATCAATTTAATCGACAATTCAAATCAAATCAAACTAATTGTTTCTGGGTCGGTTCTAAAATTGTACCTAGCCAACGAAAACTGATGTGGTTCAGTTTGGTTTTCACTTTTAGTTTTAAGAAACTGTCAAACTGACGAATCGAGCCAATGAATATATAATTTAATGGTAGTGTACTGTCAGTATAAAAAAATATTACCTATACCTAATTAAAATATTTTAAAGTGTTAAATCATATAAGTAATTTAAAATTTACATATTGATTTGAGAAAGAAATTACATTTATCGTTAGTTGACAATGTAGTGCACCATCCATTTTCTCATGAATATAATTAACTTTCTAAATTTTTTATTCCACCCATAATTAAACTCAAAGTTTGAATCAGTCCAATAATTCCCCATCTTTGTTTACAACTTCTTTTATTTCAATTAAGCAGCTCAAAGTTTGTATCTTTTCAATAATTCTCCATCTCTCTCTCTCTGTGTTGAAGGGAAAACAAAATTAGATTCTCCAAATTGGCGTTTGAACTGTTTGCCTTTAGCGGAAAAGATGCATGTGGACCAATCTGGTTAATCAGATTAATCACACCTAGAAAATAAGCAAAGTGTCCATAATTTTTTTTTGAAAAGAAGCGTCAAACTTCATACACATCAGTAAGACTAAGTGACTAACATTCCAAGCAAAAAGAAAGGCATTGTCACACGCCGTGGATCAACTTGTATACCATATGAACCACATCAAGGGGAGGAATACATAAAAGATACAGAAAAAATTGCACTTACACAACGAGAGCATAGAATTGGAAAAGAATCTGCAGAGAATTGAAATATGTTTATGCCATCAATGAGTGTTGTACATTATGCCTCTTCGAAGTCACGTTAGCATACCACCACGTTCTTCACCACAAACTTTAATGTCTTGCCATGAATTATTGGTGTGAAATATTTGTCTCATTTTGTGGTGACTAAAATAAATTTTGAATGAATTGATAATGTAAAATTGATTATAACTACAAGTGAATTGAAAACTAAATTATTTATATTTACGAAAAAGTGAATTGAATAATAAATTTAAGTCTAAAAATAAATTCTAAAATCAAAAACTCCAAATTCTAGCTTCAAGAATCAAGGTTGCCCCCTCCAAAAGTAAGAACTCTTTGTTGGAGAGATGCTCGTGATTGCCTTCCAACAGGTACAAATCTTCGCGCTCATGGTATTCCTTATCTCTGCTTGTTTGTCAGAGACTATAGGAGAACATTTGGCATGCTTTTTTGGGTGTGACTGAGTTTGCCATAAATTGCTGGAAGGAGCTTGACCTAATTGCTTTGCTACTGCACTTAACAAGTGCAGAAGCTATAGATCTCTTTGCTATCACCTTGTGGTGTATTTGGAGAAGCCTTAATAAACATTTGTAGAAGCTCTGGCATAGGAGAGATTGAGAGATTTCAGAAGGGACAACAGTGTAGCAGCCTATTTGCATAAACCAAGTAATCATCGCCCCTCTCCTTCCTTGATCTGGTCTAGACTGGAGCCAAACAAGATGAAGTGCAGCTTCGATTCTGCTACGTGTTTGCAGCATGCAAGGGTATAGTCATATGCTTTCGGGACAACTCGAAGAATTTCGTTTTTGCTCACTCAGTTTGGTTCAATTCTCAAGCAACAATAGATACTAAAGGCAGAAGCCACAGCCCCCCTTTCATCACTCCAGCTAGCCCTCTTGAATGCATTTGAACATGTCACCTTTGAATCTGACAGTAAAATAATTGTGGATGCTATTTTTGGTTCAAAGATTTACTGTTACGAGCTGGGAGTTATTGTAAGGTTATCATGAATATAGAAGAATGAAAGTCATCTGCAAAATATAAATCAGCAAGATTACTTCCTGCAAATCAACAAAACAACAAGGGAAAAAAACCATGCTTTTATTGTGTGCACATGCGAGTAATTTTTAGGTGTTCTACAGAAGAATCAAAATCCTTTTAAGTTTCCACATTCGTGTAACATATATTGTTAACGCCAGGTAGCGACGTAGCATCGATACCCTAAAATACTATGGCAGTATAGCAGATAGGGGAATAGCCGCCATTGCAAAGAGTAAAAATTAGTGTAAAGTAAACATAAAACAGAGCCAAAAGTAAGAAGAACATAACGATTGTTTGTGAGCAAGAACATAACATAAAGAAGAAAATAATTTCACTCTTAAAAGGGTCTGAATTCACATTAAATACAGTTTGGCTATTTCACCCCAAAACCTTAATAGCAGCGTAATGGCAGATTAGGGCTGCAATAGCCTCTATTACACCCACTATTATCGACGACGGCTCGCAGGCTAAAACTGTCGCGCTTAAGCCTACCACCACTATGCTATTCCGCTGTAGCGTGTCGACAACAGTGTGTAACTAAATAAACTCTTCTAACGGACTTTGAGATCATTTTATCGCAACAGAAAAATTCATATAATCATTGAACTATCAAGTGAATTTGTATCCAAATTAAAAGTTATTTGACATTTTACCTAGAGTAACATGGCAAATAAGATTGATGAAACTAACATCTTTCCAGCAGTTCTAATTGCTATAAGACTTGATGAATATATAAAGCTTACTAAGCAATCTTTCATGGAATGTTGAAGTTTCATAAATCTCCAAGGCCTTCTGCAAGTATATCGCTAACAGAATCAGAATCATCAAACTTCAATGTTCCTTGACTTATCCCTTCTCTAACATCAGATCCAATCAATAATTTATGAGTGGTTGTATCAGGAAGCCAGCCCTTTTTTAGCATCATATCAAGTAATCGCTTTGCTTCATGTTCCTCACCCTCTTTCCACAGGCCAGTTATCAGTAAGTTATATACCGCTGAACTCAATTTTTTGCTGTCGGAAATTTTTTCAATGGCACTAGAAATCATAGATAACCGCGAATGATTTGCTATGAATGAAAGTTGATCAAATAGTTCGTCTGGATCAGGTATCAAACCATCATTGACCATCATATTGAAAAACAAAACACATTCCTTTACTAGATTTTGTTTAATCATGCCATGTATAAGGATACAATATGCTTCCTTGTCAAGAATGCCTCCAACAATCAACATTTGTGAGAGGAATGCGAACAGATTTTTTGCGTTATCTAATTTAGACAACTCATACAAGAGAGTAGTTTGTGCGACATTACAGTAAGAAATACCACAATAATAAGCTAATTGCCATAGTTTTACGGCTATGTTGACCTGTCCCGAGTCACATACACATTTTATCAACTTGTTGAAGGAGAAGGAATGAAGAGA